GCGAATACTCTTGTTAATGCTAGAAAATGCACTGGCTATTTTCCCTTGTCCTTATCTGGTCATGGTAGCTGGACAGAAGAGGCAGAGGAAAAAAAGTTGGAAAAGGCCTTGAGTGAAAAACGGTTGACAAACAACGGTTTTGATAAAGGAGAATATTTATAGCTCAGGGTTGAACTGAGGGGTCCTTGGTGCTCTCTGAGTTTGGCTGTTTTCTTGCAGACGTTTCATTACCTAACTAGGTTACATCCTCAGTGCTAGCAATGATGCATGTAAACCGAGAGCAACGCCTTCTTCCTTCTGACGATGTTACCGAGTTGGGTAATGAAACGCCTGCAAGAATATAATCGATCACAGTGAACACCAAAGAGGTAAAGGTTCCCCTTGCACACATGTGCTAGTCGTTCCTGACTCTAGAGGGCAGTGCTCATCTCCGTTTCAAACCCAAAGAGCCAGCGCTGTCTGAAGACGTCTCCGTGGTCATGTGGCCGGCATGACTAAACGCCGAATTCGCACGGCGGTTCCTATCTTTTTTCCTACTTGCATTCTTACATGCTTTCGAATGGCTAGGTTGGCAGAAGGTGGAACAAATAAACGGGAGCTCACTCTGTTATGCAGCGCTAGGGATTCAAACTGCTGAACTGCCAACCTTTCTGATCGACAAGCTCATCAGCCACTGAGCCACTACGTCCTGACACCAAAGAAACACCCCACCCCCCCAAGTTGTGGGTTTAAACCAACTGGTGGCTCTTCTTAAGTGTGAAATAGGAATGTTTTTGTTTTTTCATCCACAGTACATTTTATTGCAAACAAAACAACCTTTGTCTGTGTTGTCTAATTTGTCTACAAATGCAACAGAAGAGAGCATGATGTTAAACAGGAAGCAGATATTTTTTATGGGTGTTTATTTGGATATCTGCCTTTGTGAGCTCAATGTGGATTTTTTTCCTTGCCAGAAACTCCCCACATCATCTGGTCCGAAACGGGATAAAATTTCCGTTGAGTTGAGCTGGATACGTCCACGTTGCTTTCTTGGCGGCTGGGAAATTGTTGTTTGTTGTAGCTTTCCTTTCTGGTTGTTTTTTTCCCCAACCTCACAGTCGCTCCTACAACCTTGGCATTTCTTTCTGGGGACTCATCTTAAGAACTAACCGTGGCTCACAACCTACCTGCATTTTCTGGCTTAACCCAGGTGGGCTGTGCAAGTACAGGTAATCCTTGAATTTACGGTCCACAGTCGAGCCCAAATTTCCGGTTGCTACGCAAGGCAGTTAAGTGAATTTTGCCCCCTTTTACAACCTTCCTTGCCGCAGTCGCTAATTGAATCGCTGCCCCGGTTAAGTTAATAACACGGTTGTTAAGTGAATCTGGCTTCCCCATTAACGTCGCTTCTCAGAGGGTCGCAAGAGGCAAACCACGTGACCTTGGGGACACGTCATAAATATGAGCCAGTTGCCAAGCGTCCAAATTTCGATCGCGTGGCCGTGGGGATGCCCAATGGTCATAAATGTGAAAAAGGGTCATAAGTCACTTTTTTTGAAGTTCGAACGGTCACTAAATGAATGGTTGTAAATTGAGGGCTACCTGTACTGGTAAAAACAGGGTTGTGAGATAATGGCCCCTCTTGCATTTTGGGGAAACTGGGTGGGTTTGATCACGGTTTAAATCCTGATTTAAATCACTAGTAAAAAGGCTTGATTTAAATCAACCCGCTTTAAATCACAATTTTGAAAGAGCAGCTGTCATCTCTGTCCTGCGTGGGCTTCTCCTCTGACCCGCTATTGGCTCATCAAAAGTCCCATTCACTTTAATGGGATGACTGGTGATGGGGCAAGGACACAACAAGGTGAGGGGCATGGCAGGTAGCAGGTGAATGGATGCCCGCTATCCATAATGGATCTGAAATGACAGGCGTAAGTCTTTCAATACAATAGCAGAGTTGGAAGGGACCTTGGAGGTCTTCTAGTCCAACCCCCTGCCTAGGCAGGAAACCCTCTATCGTTTCCACAAATGGCTATCCAACATCTTCATAAGACTTCCAGTGTTGGGGCATTCACAACTTCTGGAGGCAACTTCTGTTCCACTGATTAATTGTTCTNTCATTGATTAGTGATGACTTAGCAGTTGTACAAAGCCTTTTGTGTGGGGGCGGGGAAAGGGATGTTGCCAACACAGAGAGAATAGGAAGTTGCAGAGACACAACCGGCCATTAAACTTTCTGCAGTTAAACCCTGCTCGCCCTGTGAATGTTTTCTTGTTCGTGGGTGACTTTTTAACAAAAGAACCGTCTGGGTTTGATTGTACGGTGCAGTGAAGAATGCCAACTTTTTTAACCCGTGCAAATCGAGAAGCCACACGCTATAAAACGTTGTAAAAGTGTAGAGACCGAAAGGGAAGCTTAAGGTCCCTTTGGAGGTGAAAACATCCCACCCTGCTTGGAATCGCTTGGTATTCCTTAATGGGGGCTTAGTGGGTATCCATGCGATGCCATGGCATGGATGATTTTTTTAATAGAGCTTGCGCACGAATGTAGAAGGAGAGGTAATTTTTTTCCCCAGGCATTTTATTTATTTCTGTTAGTTATAGAAGAGAATATTTGTAGCTCAGGGTTGGAATGTGAGCTGGGTTGTTTCCTGGTAGATATTCTGTCATCCAGCTAGGTAACATCATCATCAACGGTGGGTTTCGACATTTTGTTACCACTGGTTTGTACCACTTCCACGCATGCGCCCAGCCGTCCGCGCATGTGCTTTGCTCGTGCGTGCGACTTCCGCGCATGTGCCAAGACCTCAAAAATATGCCTAATTAAGATGGCATAAGCCAGGGCACCTATGATTTTTCCACTACAGGTTCGGGTGAATGGGGCCGAACCGGCTGAATACCACATCTGATCAGGGCTTCAAAGAAGGAGGAGGAGGACTGTGGAGTTCTTGGTGCTCTCTGGTGTTTTCTTTCAGACGTTCCATGACCCAACTGTGTAACATCATCAGGGCTAGAAGGGGGGAGGAGGAGGAAGACGAAGAAGAAGAGGAGAAGAAGGAGAATTAGGGCTCTGGGGTCTTTGGTGCTGTCTGAGCTTGGTTGTTTCCTTGCAGATGTTCTATGACCCAGCTAGGTAACATCATCAGTGGTAAAAGGGAGGAGGGGAAGGAGGAGAAGGATTGTAGAATCCTTGGGGTTCTTGGTGCTCTCTGTTGTGGCTTGTCAGCACAGCTGGCAGCAGATTCGGACAGTGAGGAGGGTTGGGGAGGAACTTGGGCCAGTCCTGGAGTCTGGGGAAGGCTCTGACGAAGGCTCTGTGTC